AGTGCTTAAGTAGACGTAGCATAAGTGTTTTCTTTTTTGCATTTATTATTGTCATTTTTTTATGAGTGCAAATGCCGATTACTTGATGTTATTGTCCTCACTTTTGTCGTTTAGTCGTCTTGTTAATTATTTTTTTTTTTCAAATTGTGTAGAAGGAGGGAGGTGGGTATGGGCAACCATTACGGTTCAGAAGTGTCCTCATAGGAGTGTGCCAGAGACGATTGGAACTCTTCTTTTCAAACATTGGGATCATATTCAAGTCTTATTTCATAACGTACCTAAAATCGTGTTCTCTTGTTTTAATTGTTCAGAAAACTTAGTTCTGTGTTGCTCGTTGAGTTATTGCTCAAGGAAGTAGGTGGGTCAAGGAAATAAGAAAATTTTTCAGTTTTTTAAGTCCTATAATTTTTTCCATTTGAAATTTCGGCTATATTTTTTAATATTGCTAGGCTATGGAAATTTGCTATGATTTATGCAATATTTTACAGTACGCTTATTGTTTGTTAAGTGGTTGCTTGGTTCCTTTCGATAGTTAATTTGTTTTTAATCAGGAGACGATGAAAGCTTTTTCAATTTCCTGTGGTTTTATTGAGTGTTTACAAAGTTACAAGTGTATATTTGTTCTTGACATTCAGAATCATACTGTGATTAAGATAAGGATAACGGTTTAATGACGTAATCGTCGTGCTTCAACCGTTGAGTTTCGGCCAACGGGTGACAGAAGTAACTTGTTTCATTTTATTTATATTATGGATTATAACAGTGTTGGAGGCGATATGGAAGGTGGTGTAGAAGACTGCATATGGGGGAAGATCGAATGGCAGGAGTATGTAGAAAAACTAATTACGGCAAATTCCGTCGATGAAACTGCTTTGCTGGAAAAGATCGAAGTCGTGAAGAGTAATGTTGGTCGACAAATTAGGAAAGCGGTTAGTTAGCTTCGCTTTTGACCATTCTCTTACTGCATTTAATACTATTAGTTTTCATCCTGGACGTTTTGGCGTGGTTTTAGTTTCTTCATTAGTTTATCGCTGCTGATAGGGTAACCGGTCGAGGATCACGTTTTGGTAGTAATAGAAGGAGGGAGACTACGAAAAGACTTTGAGTTAGAGTGAAATTAATGATGCTCAACTTGCATTTAACGAGGAACTTAAAAATTTGTAATTGCTTTTGTTTTCTTATCATGTATTGAATTGAGTACCTATTGTCTCAAAGGGAACGAAAAGTAACTTTTCTATTTTCTGAGATGATTGAAATTAGTAATTTTTTTAACATTTACCACTGTCAGTTCGAAGAGTTGAAAATTTTAGAACCACCCATACGATAGTATTACTCGTTTACAGATAGAACAGCATCATCCAAGACTCGTTGAACAGGCTAGTGCCCTTCATGGTTTAGACCTAGTTCAAGCTACAATCAGCCGTGAGATGTCACACTTATTTGAAACTAGTGAAGAATTGAGCAGTCGATTTGCTTCTGCCTATGAAAAACTTAATGGCGAGACGTGTTCTTTGGAGCAGCTTTACGCCCTTAAAAAAATTTTATATGCTGCTTACAGGTGGAGTTAAATGTGTTCATATTTTTTGCTTTCACCGTATTTCTTTTTAAGATAGTAGGGTCAAACATGCATTTTTAGTATAAGATAATTTATTCTTTTGTTCCGTAAATACTAATTACCAAGGCTTCCTGTTGTAAATTGATGCAAAATTGAAATTTTAGCAGCTTACGGTCTTGATTTTTGTTGAAATACCTTTTCATTTTATTTTTGGAGCTGTTAATTTTATATGTTTAGGTGTGAACAGCTAATTCGTCGGCTAAGCACTGTAAATGAACTGGTGAAACAGTCAGAAATGATATGTGAATTAAAGTCGATAATTTCTGAGTTTTCGCAACTGAAAGAGGTCTTGTGGTTGAGAGAGGCAGTATCAGTTACTGTAAGTTTATTTTGTTAATTTATCTGCTGTTGTAAAACTGAATACTTTATTTTTCTCGCACATTTTTGTCCTTTTACGATAGAGCAGTAGGCGACTTCAATTAACTTTATCTTTGTGATTATAGGCACCAAAATTAGCATCTGAAGCACGACAAAGAACTGCTAAGCAAATGAGGACGTCATTAGAATCTCAAAATGCTCCTCTTGTTGCTTCCTGCGTTCGAGCACTGCGAAATCTTTCCTGTTATGAAGCAGAGGTATTAAATCTTACTTTCAAAAAAATTTTTTATTATACTTGTATTGCATAATTTTCAAAATTATTGTCTTTGTTTCCTGATAAAAGATATAGTATGCTACAATTACTGCTTTATACGACATCAGTATTAACAATAACCTGTCAGGTCAAAGCGTTACTTGATGAATATTGTAAAGACTTGGACGCTCAGTTTCTACAACTAATAACGAGTCCCGATTTGGCTGGTAAGACACTGCCTCATATTTCAAGCCAAGTACAGGTGACTCTAGTTGCATTATATACGCTAATTAATTGTAACTTCATTTTGGTCTTTTCCAATCAAATGAACTAAATTGAATTTGTATGATTGCATCAGCACCGTATATTTCATTTAACTATTGTGTCACAGCTGCGTATCTAAAGATCTGCTTTTCATTTCAACCAGAAACTATTAATTAACTAGGATTAACGGAAGGAAATTACATATGACCGTTGTTTTACAAATCTTTTATTTATTTCTGCTACCTGATATGCAGCATGCTTTTTTTCTGTTCTTTATGGCATTTCGCCTTTCAGTGCTAAAAGAAATGGAACTTTCATATTTGAACTATTTCACATTTCTTTAGAACTATGTAGAGCAACTGTTTTTATTGGGGGATGAAACAGTTTCTTCATTTTGTGCATCATTCGCTCAGATAATTGCTAATCGAGTTCCTGCCAACGTCCAGTATTCATGTCGAATCCTCCAACTTTTCACCCCTGTTTTTTCTCAGTTGCCCTCAAGCAGTTCTAAAAGAGTTTTCGAAGCTTTTCGGCCATTGAAAACTGCATTTCTTTCTCAATCCCTAAATCGGATGTTTGTCGCTGTTAATGCAGCGTTTGAGGATTCTTCTATGCGAAACGCTGTTGTAGAGAAGGTATTTTGTTTGTTTTGTTTCAGTTGCTTCCTCTTCTTTTAGTTGAGCAAGCTTTCGTTTGACGTTTTTATTTCATTTTCTGGACGCTTTTTTTAAAAACTTGTATATTATTCTAGCGGATTAGTAAATTATCCAACTGCTCCAGATTTCAAGTGTTTTGCGGAAAGAATTGTGCAGCGTAGGGTGGGATGCAGATCTAAAGTGTAGTGTAGAAGAAAATATATCAAAGGCGATGGAACTTATTTCTCAAAAGATAGAGGAATTGCTTAAATTGGACGAGGAATCACTTTCAATAGGAGAACGAGTCAGCAACACACAGGTATAGATGTTTAAACAGTTTTACATTATTTTCAAATCTTTTTGCAGACAGGCTTGTTTACTGCTTCATTTTTTTTTTCTTTGTATATAAGCGTACAAATAGTAAGTGGGTAGGAACGAGGTGAGTTTTTTATGTAGTAAAATTTTTTTTATAATCACTTAAACGTAATGCCTTAGTAAGTTGAGAATTAGTGCAGGGCGTCAGGCATTTTTTTGCAACATGATATTAAGTAAACACTGTTCTAGGCATCCAACTATGGTTTATTGAATGTCGCGTATGCGTTGAGTACCGCGTGGCAGAAGTATGATTCTTCTTTGATGTCGGTCGCTCAACAGGGCCGAGATGCCGTAATGGCTCTAGGAAAGGCTTCCATTTCAAAAATATTGCTTTCGATGCATTCAGAGGAATTGGGAGCACCATCACCTTATGCGAAAGAGCTTTGCGAATATCTTAATTCGTTCCGCATGCACATATCGCTTTTCATGCAGCTGGCAAAATGCGATGGGGTTCTTGCTGCATTTATTGATTACGTCATAGACTTATTTTTAATTCACGCTTCTCTTTTCCGACCAACTTCATTTGTACATCTTGGTAAAATTGCTGATGATCTCAGACTTGTATGTCGTGCACTTAGCTCCTTCGATACGCCTTCTGCATTGTTGTCTAGCGTCCCAGAATTTGCCGATGCCTTATGCAAAAAATGCGAAGTATTGGGAAGCGATACCTCGCTTCCTTCATGGGCTGTCATACAGCTTTTAATAAGTCACAGTGATGGTTCTTTGTTTTCGCCTCACGAAGCCATCGGAAATAGTTTGCAGCAGTATACTGAATGGTTCAGCAATTTGCCGTCGGCAGAAAGAATTAAATTTCTTTCTTCAGTCATTGAATCATATACGTCGTCTGTTGTATCACAAAATTGCTCAGAGTATGTCTCAACCTATCCGTTGATAGTGGATGTACTAAAACGGGCTGCTGAGCAGTAGGTTTTTTTGGTGGTATTAATAATCTGCAGCAACTGAATAAGACTACCAAGTAAAAACGGTCAGTGAATTAGCTGTAATCGTCCGGCACAATGGTTATGCTCTTAATTTTTGGTTCATAATTTTTTAGAAGTGTGCTTTTTTTCTTCGTTATAATCTGTTTATAAATATGGTTGGGGCTAAATTAATTCATCATTTTTAATTAAGGTTCTAAAGTCTTTGTTACTTTTAGACTTTGACATGTATATGTGTGCACATAAAGAGTACTATATAGGGTGATGTATGTAGATGTTTCTCATCGTTTTTAGTAAATTATTTGTTCTGGTTGGTGGTGATGGTTCTAACTCCTTCGTATTTTAACGCTAAAGAGATTTTTCCAATTGGTATTTGTTTCTTTTTTATTTTCTGCTTGAATTTAATCAAATTTCGTAGCTTCATCGATGATCAATACATATTTGAGAGGAGAGTCCACATAATGGTGTTTATTGTACAAAGTTGGTGGGGATTAGAAGAATGAGGGATTATGTGTAAGTTTTTTTCTGTTAGTGTCGTGAAAAAAACAATGTGATTTTTTTTTTTTTTCTTTTTTTTTAATGGTTGAGAACGACCGATCCAGGTTTCTTTAGCTACGTGTAAGACTTTTCCCTGGCAATGCATGTTTTAAGGGTTTGAATGGGTTGCTGTAGGAATATTGCAGCATACATTCGACAAGACGCTCCAGTAATTTGTTTTTAAGAATAGAAACTGTAAGGTGAATATTTTGTTGTGCCATCTGTTGCTGAACTGTGTCTCAGAGATATTTCCTTGGATTGGTTGATTGTGTTTTGTCACTGTGCTGTGTTGTACGAAGACAATCTATTAAAGTTTTCAAGTATTTGAGACATTGTAAAAGATAGTAGCATGAGTTGCAAAAGCAAACAGCCATTCAGTCCATAAATCTGCGCCAATTGAGGTTGATGACGAAAGATTATGCGTGTGGAATGCATAAAAAACCGTTGATAACTTGTTGCTTCGTTTGAAGCAGCTAGCAAGTTAGAATTCAGTAAACGATTAGGTGAATGCGGTGCGTGCTTGACAGCGAAACGGACTGGGCAGCAGTTTGAAGTCGCATACTCAGTTGAGGTAGCTGTTATCGTTCTACTCATGATCCTCGCAGAACTCGTTGTTGAGGTTTGTTTCGAGTCTAAATGGTAAGTTTCATGGTTCTGCTGCGATTTTTAGTGCTATTTTTACTCTCAAGCCAGTGTTTTTTGTTGCAGTTGTTGCAGTTGTTGCTGCTGATGCTAGAGTTGCTGTTTTTATCGTTTTTTGTTAACTTTACCTTGTCATGCTTTTACTTTTCTTCGACCTGGTCAGTGTGTTTCTTTTTTTTTGTAGGGGAGGGGAGGGGGGTAGAGGGTTTAGTTGCCAAAAAGCAGTGCTGAGGGTTAAAGCTATGTGGTAGGTGACATCAAAGCTTTGACAGCAAAAGTTGTCTATTTTTTTTGCCACTTGATTACTGATAAACACTGAAGTCGATGGCTGCATGAAAATTGATTTTGTGTTAAGTGCAGAAGATATTTTGTTGTTTCGAGGTCTGCACATATGTACTGATCTTGGCGTCACATTCTTGGTGGTTCACGACAGTCAAATCAACACTTAGAGAAGTTACGTACACCTCAGTTATCAGTAAGTCATTTCCGGGTCTGTTCCATCAACTTGGTTGGAAGGAGTATTATCATGGTTTTATGTAATTAGTTTATATTCTGGAGGAAAAATTAAAAAAAATTATTTTTTTTTAAATTATTTTTTCAGTAACCCATGAACTTTTGCTGATTAGAAGTCTCCTTAATACTTCAGTGTCTAAAAGTCGTTCTTAGGCACATTCAGAATGCATTTTTATTTCTTCTGAGCAATTTATATTAGTGTTCTATGTGATATATTTAATACCCTTACTTTCTTGTTACTTTTTAGAAGCTTAGAGTAGTATTTCATTGTTTTCTATCGTACAAGGTGTGACAAAAAAAAACCTCTTTTCCTATTGTTGCAGCACAGTAGATATTTCGGTTTGGTATATGTATATATTTTGAGTACTTTATTGCACTTTCGGTTAAAGTGGATGACTGGCATCTCGCCACCCGATTATAAGGAATAGTAGGTTTGAAAATTTATATATATATATATCTGCAAATTTATTTTTTCATATCTAGTATTTCTTAGCCTTGCTGAGGCAAAACTAACTGTAAGTCATTATCAGGTTTTGTATTGCTACTGTTTGTTGTCGTTTATTCATATCTTTTCGGCCGGGTAAAGTTTTATTATTGAAAATGAAACAAAACAAATGGTAAGTTGCCACTTTTTCCTTATTTTTTTTTTTTTTTTTTTTTTTTTTTT